TGGCGGAGCCCACCCACCCTGCCCCACAGTCTGGGGTGCTGCCAAGAGGCCAGGGCCAGGGGGCCCTCCCACAGAGCACCAGGATCCCTGCAGACATCCCTCAGGCCACCCAGCCCCACAGGGGTTCCCCAGCCACAAAACATGACACCAGAAGTGAGAGTAGCCCTAACCTGGGGGAGGAGGGAAAATGACATGGTCAGTCCAAGGACCCTGCTCACAAATGGGGAGGCTGAGACCCTGGAAAGCAGTGACCATGCCATGGGATGGTGCCCCAGCCTCTCCTCTCCCCCAGGAGAGTCTCGTCAGCCCTGTGTTCACTTGGAGGGAAGAGAGAACCCAGAGCTCAGAGCTCGGGGCAGACAGGAAAGAAGTAGCTGCCAGAGGCCGGGCCACCCAGCCTGGCTGCCACCAGGAACCTAACAAGGGACAGCCTGGCCTTGACTGCCACTCCCCTTCACCGTAGACAGAGGCCAGACACTCAACCAACTTTTACTTCATTTATTTACCATACCCCAAACTTTCTTGCACAAAACCTGCATGGTGGCTCCCAGGAACACAGCGCAAATTAAAGACAGAACCACATGACCACAGTCAGTCACATTAGAACCATGACAGTGATCGGTGCCCATAAGACATGTGAGAAAGGGCCCATGTGGTTGGTGGAAGCTGAAGAGCTGTGAGTTTCCTGGCAGGCAAAGGAAAAGGGAAACTAGACTTCCCTCACTATTTTAGAAAACACCCAGTTCTTCAAACTCTCAAATATGAGATCCTTTCAGGACACTGGAGGGAGCCTTGGGAAGGCAGCAGGCTGGTTCCCTTAACCCATCACAAACCCCCAGGCAGCCTCTGAGCAGCCTGAGGTTCAGGGGTGGCCTGTAGCCCTTCCCCCCCTCTCAGCAGAGGGGCAGCGAGGTCAGTCACCACTCAGGTCTCTGCTCAGCCCCAACCTCTGACAGCAGCTGGACCCCTCCAGCAAGAACCAAAGCTCCTGCACCTCCGCTGGCTCCTGATGCCCCACCTCTGCCCTGGCTGATGTCGGGAGGTAATCAATCCTGCTCAATCCCACCCCCACTGTCCACCTTCACCCTGAAACCCTGGAACCAGCAAAAATTTGACCACAAGGAGCCCGTCACTCCATCACTGGACCGAGTAAGTCCCCAGGGACATGGAGAACCAACTAGACCACCATCCATCTAGGGAGGAAGGACGGAGCCAGCCAGGCTGCGGAGGGGCCGGCTGAGGTCTCGCAGAGGTTGGATAAGAAGCCAGGCCTGCCCAGCCTCCTCTCTCGCCTGCCAGGTTCAGTCCCCCGAGTGGCCTAGAGGCCTGGAGTCCCACAGACAGATCCCTTCCCGGCTGAGTCATCCAGTCCCGTGCCAGCTGGGAGGCTGCCCAACAGCCAGCCCCAGGCAGTGCCTGCCTCTTTCACACCTCCCTGGCTGCCTCTGGAGCCTGCCAACACCTGGCTCAGCTGGGGAACACTGCTGAGGGCCAAGTGCCCCACCCTCCAGAGCCCCAAGGCAGACACCATGGCCCTGGTTCCCCTGGTTCGGGGTGGTCCCAGGAGCTGCTGGAGCTCAGGCCAGACTCCAAACAGCGTGGGGGGTTGGGGCCAGGGATTCTCCCAGGCAGCAAAGGCCAACACAGGCTGCGCTCAGCAGCCCCTGCCTACCCAGGGCCTCAGCGGCCAGACTATAGCCCCAGGACCCCACCATCATGCACCGGTGACACCCACAGTGGCAGCTGTGGGAACAGAGGGCCGGGAAAGTTTCCTGGGGGTGATGATCAGGGAAGGGAGAGCTGGCAGGGCCACCCCCACCCAAGCCAGGCCCCAGAGACAGGACGGTCTCCAAGCCTCCAGCCCTAGGGACAGGTCACGTCACCGAGCTGTAACTAGGGGCAAGCTGTCACCTGGCTGAGGTGAGAGAGAGATCTGCAAGAGCTAAATGAGAATTGATCACTTCCGGGGGCACTAATCAATTCTGCACCTGTGTTGACACCTCGAATGTCGAATATCATGGGTCTCTGGAGGAGCAGTCACCTCTGTCATTAGGCATCTGGGTGGCAGCTGGACCAGATCCCCAAGGTCAGGATCCCTGCCTCCACTGCGGCCAGGAGACAGGAACCACCATCCTCCATGGGGCTGTCACCTCCGTGGGGGGCGGGGTAGAGAGCTGGGATCAGCCCAGCAGCCCTGGGGTGAACACAGAGGGCTCAGGAGGAAAAGCCTGGTCACTCAGTCATTCAACAAACATTGCTGGGTGACCTGGACCCTGCACCCGCCCTGGCAGAGCTCCCACCTGGGGGTGGCACCCTGGACACAGAGTCCACACAGTGGCCGAGGAGTGTGGAAAGGGCTGAGAAAGGCTGAGAACCAGGGGTGCCTCGGAAGAGGGGCAGGTGGAACTGGAGGGTGGGGAGCCTGGATGCACGTGGGGAGCGCCAGAGCTCCAGGCCATAAACTCAGAGTGAGGCAGGTCAGCGGGGTCAGAGTCCCCCGCCACAGTCAGCTGCACAGGTACCAGGCCACGGGACACCAGGTGACCCTAAGTGTGGTTCTGCCAGATGAGTATGGGGAGGACAGGGGGGTTGGGGTCTGCAAAAGGGGTGCTTGTGACAAACCATCATGGGATAAAGTAAGAGTGAGGCCCTCAGTCGGGTGGGGCCAGGCTGGGACAGTAGGGCCAGGGACTGGCCGGAGACTCCTCCTGCTAGGTCCATACTTGGGCAAGTACCCCCCGGCTGCCCTGAGGTTGGGCAGCTAGGAGTGGGCAGGCATTGGGGGCTGGGCTTGGGACACAAGGAAAGGGGTCAGCAGGAAGCTGGTGACCAGTCCGCTGTGTTGGGTGAGAACATGGGGCAAGAAGGGCTGGGTGGCGCCAGGTTCTGCTCAGGGACAGGAGGACATAGGCTGGAGCTAAGCTGGGGCACTAGGGTGTAGCCGAAGGGGGCCTGGCTCTGGACTCTGAGCGGGGGCCGCCATGAGTTCCCAGAGAGACCTGTCAGAGGCAGGGGCACCTGGAGGGGCACAGAGGACTAAGGACAGGAACTGGCAGGAAACACCCAGGGCAGCTGGGGGTCTGGAGAGGAGGAGGGTGCCTGGGGCAGGGCCCGCGAGAGGGGCCCATAGAGGCCTCAGGAGGACAGTCCAGAGGGTGTGGCTCCAGGACACGCAGGGGTCCTGAAGGGGTCACCCGGAGACCTTGGCAAGATCAGAAGGTGGCACAGTGGGGGGTGCTCAGCCTGGAAGCCCCACCTGTCATGCTCAGTTCAGGAAGGACAGTGTCCCAGGTTTCAGCCTGGGTGGCAAAGCATGTGCCCCCTCCCTACACTCCAGGGCATCAGGGTTCAGAAAGGGGGCAGGGTACGGCCCTATCTTGAGTGGGGTCCTGGGTGGGGACCATAGTCACCCTGACTGCCCAGATAGGGAAACCAAGGCAGACACAGGGAGGAAAGAACACAGGGCAGCAGGAGACAGGCAGGCCTTACACCCAGGCTGACTGATAGCTGGCAGACCACCCGCCCCCCAGCCACCAAAGACCATCACGGCCGTGACCCTCGAGCCCACATCCCAGCAAAAGCAACCAGGGCTAAGGTGTGCAAGCCGCCCTTGCTGGGCACTGCTCAATGCACCTGTGAAATCGGTACAAAGGCTGTCCTGAGTACAGAGAGGGAAACTGAGGCCCAAGCTCTCAGAGGACCTGCCCAAGGTCCCTCAGCAGAGACCTGTCTGCTGGTAGGAGCGTGGGCAAGGAGCCAACTGGGGTCTATACCTGAGACCAGGCATGACCCCACAGGCCACTGTGGCCCCAGCTCCAGCTCCACCCCAGCTGTGGGAGCCCAGCAAGCCCCCAGGACTGAGAAAACACAGGCAACGTTCTCTGTAAACTGTGAAGTGCTGTCCTCATGAAGCTCATCTCATGCTGAGAAATAAGAAAAGGTCCCTAGGGAAATCAGACAGCAGGTCTATGTGCCCCGTGCCTTGTCAGCTCCCCACCCCGGCTGCCCCACAGAGCCCTCCCTTCCAGACCAGAAGCAGAAGCAGAAGCAGCTGCGTGTGCGTCCATCCGGACACCGCCTCCCCGCCTCCCTGGAGGAAGCTCTGGGCCAGGCCGGGCCAAGCTGCAGGCTGCAAGTCAGCCAGGACACGGGGGGAAGTCCAGGTCGCACAGGACAGTGACGCCCGCCAACGTCCCAGGGCTGCTGGCCCAACCCCCCACATCCCATGGCCCAGGGTGGCTAAGCCCCCCATGGCCCTGTTTCCATCCTCTCTGGACAAGCAGTGGACAATGGGTCTTCCTTCCCTGGGACACA